CTTATAATTTTATTGTCACGGCGCCAACTACATGTTCTGTAGTTGCCTTCGTGCCTCAGACATAGACCACTAGCGTGCCCTACTTCTTATAAGTAGGGCCTCACTCTTCCATAGCTCTTCTATCCTTATGGTACAATATAAGTCTTTACCTGTACCCTGACATTTATTTTATTTTTTAATAAAATCTTATTTAAATACTTTTGATATAGAATTTATAAATAAATTTTTTAATTCTATAATCAATTTTATAATTATTATAATTTTATAAATATTATTACTTTTCTTATACCTTTTAATAGTTATATTTAATTTTTTATTTATGATTAATTCCAAAGTCTTTGTAAAGGTGATGAAATCCGGTAATATTAAAAACTCTAAAAATAATATATTGTTTAACAAATTCCGATTTATATTATTTAAAATGCTTTTTTATGGTTTTACATTGAATAGAAATATCATTTTAATCTATATTAAATATTTAAAATAGAATTTATTTAATGTAACTTATAATGAACCGGGTTATATTTATCCTATCACTAACTTCAAACCCCAACAAATTTTGTTATACATATTAATATATCAAAAGAATAATTGAAATTATAAAATCTCAAAATATTGAGATAGTTTTATTGTGAAGACAATTTACCAATATTTAAAAAGTAATTAAAACTCCCAAAAAGTTTTTGAAATCGATTTATTTCGGACAATAAAAAAGTATTGAATATGATATTTAAGACAACGGAAAAACCTAAGAAAAAAAAGCTATAAGAATAATTGTATAAATATCTAATTGAAAATTTAGAAAAGAAAACTGAAAAAGAAAAACTAGTGTTTGGAAAGTTTCCAGATAAAACTATTGATCCTAATCCTAGTATGAAGTGAAGGAAATCGATGGCTGATATTAGGATTAAGGGATTGTTCTGAGAGATGATGATTATTATAGTGTAGCAGTTTCTCTTGAATGTGGGATTGAAAAAATCTCAAGGATTTAGTACGTAAATAGCACCAATAAATTTTTTTATTAGCCTGACTCTCATTCATATAGTACTTAATTATTTAACGCTTTTCACTATCGAATTTATACTTATCTAGTAGTATTCATAAGTATGATATTAAGAAAGTCTTATCTTATAATTCCTTTTAATACTAGAAAAGATAGTAAAAAGTAACTAAGAAGTAAACTACTTGATATTTATTTCTTTAAACATTCAAAGCTATTGAAAATAATAGAATACATCAAAAATCGTACTAAGAGGTTTTAGAATATTTATTTTATTATCTAGTTTATTTTAAAAAGCTTATATTACAAACCTTTGGATATGAAATTGAAGTTTTTTCTAAGAAGTAAGACTAAATTTCTTAATATATCAAACTAGCTTTAAAACCAAAAACTAGTAATACAACATCTATATTATATTCTTTTAATATATATATAATTAATCTTAATTATCTTTTCTAATGTGTTATATGAATAATATTCTTATTGGAATTAAATATAGAATCGAATAAATAATTATAGATATTTTATAGTAAATATAAATAAGTTTTGAAAAAGATGAATTTGTGAGAGCAAACGGAGAAAATCTATACTCCGTATATGCTTATATAATCATAGTCCTGTATAGTATATCATTTTCATATTTATAGATTTGTAAAAGTTCTTCTGATGAATCATAAATTATATATAGAACTTTTAATTAATTGAAACATAAGTATTTCAATTGAGCTTAATTACTTTAATATAAGAGTCTATAAATTTGTTTCATGTTTGATTATAATAATGAAATAAGAAGAATAAAGCATTTGATTCAATATATAATTTGAAATGATTTGACAAAATAATTGAACACTAAGAAATTAAATCAAATAAATTAAGAGTTGTTGGAATATAGAATTGCTTTTCACGTAAGTTTTAAAAAGATGATAGAATTGATTAATCGATTAAAGATTAAAAGGATTAATCGAGGTAAGTATATTTGAAAGTGTATTTGTAATCAGCGCCTGAGTCAAAGCCGACTTAAGACGTTTTTCAATATTTGAATCTAAATCTAAATTCAAATCGAAACCTAATAAATCTAATAAATCTAAGAAACCTGATGAATGTACTGAATCTAATGAACGCAATGAATCTGAATAGAAATCTAAAGAATAGATCCAAAGAAGTAAACAGAGTAAGTATATTCGTATATTACATAATCATCATTTCTATATAGTAACGTGTTTTATCAGTGTGCAGGTTATATCAATATACGGGTCATTTCGAAAACCATCTAAATCAAGCTTTTTAGAATATTCATACTTTAATAACTAATCATTATTTTTTATATAGAAAAGAGCTTTAATTAACAATAAAATCAAATCTTTTTAGAAATGTAATTTTTAAATAAATATTTCTAATATTTTCTAAAAAAAGTATAAATTGTTATGATTTTTATTACAGAAAGACTATTTCTATAATAACTACTTTCTAAATCCGAATTTCTTAGAAATAATTAGATTTTAATATTTAATATATATTTAAATATTTTATATAAAAATTTTAAAAAATTATACTCTTAAACAAAAAAAGTGCACAGTTATGCACAAACAAATTTTGTATATAAAATAAGTGACCCGTATACTGATATAACCCGCATACTGATAAAATACGTTATACTATTTTCAAAATGTATAAACTATTAAACCTTTACTAATTAGTTGTAAATGATCTACAAAACTTTTAATCAATCAAAATTTAAATGTTTCAGTTAATTGAAAGGAAAATTATTTACAAGGCTATTTAAAACTTAGATTTTTCGATCAAAAAGTACACAAAATTATTAATTCAGTGTATAACCTTGAATGAATTACTAAAGCAATTGAAAAAGAAGTAGTTAGATTAAAGTAATCGAGAGCTTTCGGAATATATAATTACTTTTAGGGTATGTCTGATGATATCATTGAAATCAATTGAGAGAGTATATTTGAAAATGTATCTGTAAGCAATACCTGGGGAAAAATTGTTTTTAGAAATTTTTCAATATTCGAATTTAAACCTAAACTAGAATCCAAATTAGAAGTTTTTTGAAAAAAACAAAACTGAATAGAAAACTAAATAAATTCTTTCCAAAGGAAGTTAAATAGAAAGCTAGATAAAAGTCCCTTTTCAATATTCGAATCTAAATATGAATCCAATCTATTAAAGCTTTTCTCTTCCTTTTATTTTATTACTCTAGTTTCTAGTTCGAATAGTATTACTAAGCCTAAAGGGGTATGTATTACTTAGCCTGAAATATGTTTGAAATACATTTGAACCAACTAGGAACGTTTTGATCATTTACTTCTAAACTCTTCGAACAATCAATTGAATAATTATCAAAATAAATCAATAAACAACTATTCAATATCAAATTTTGAAAAAAAAACAACATTGAAAAGCCCTAAATCCAACCATCATCAACTTGTTTGCTTTTTTTTATATAAATCATTTATAGCTAGTATACTTATTTTATTTTTCTCTTTTAATAGTTTAGTGTTTGATGTATAAGGCATTCAAGCTTTTCTTTTTGATTAATTAGCTTTTTGGTTAATAAGAGTATTTTAAAATATATATATTAGGATTAGCACTAGGCGTTGGGGGAAACAATTCTTAAGACTTACAGATTCACAGAATTTTTTTTTATTATTAATTATTATAATAAACTTGAAATCCTATGAATATAGAGACTGAGAATTATTTTCCCCCGACGACCGACTAAATTTGTCCCGTTAAGGCGTATGAAATATATATAAAAATCAAATTTATATTCCTCGAAGTAAGATAATCCTAACCCTATATTTAGTTTTTATATTTTTATATATATAATATTGAAATATGATCATAGTGGGGAATGAATTAGTTGAATTGAGGGTATAGTTCATCGTATTATAGTTTGACTAAAGAGCTAGAATAAGATTGTGCTCATTTGAAAGGTATAATCTTTCGAATGGACGCTAGTACCAATTAGCCCTTACCGCCTACACTAGATCTACTGACTACTTTCAACATATTGTATTATAAAAGTCTATTTAAGTTATTATTTTCAGCAGATTAAAAGTAATAATTAATAGGAGAGATTTTAATGAGATTTCTCTTCTCTCATTGAATGAGATTATTATACAGATGATTTTGAAAATAACTCCTAGTCTAATAGTTAGAATCGGTTTATTATTTGCTATTAAATAATTATTTTTGCTATTCATTGAAATTTCTACTCGTATATCTTAATAAGAGACGCTCCGCGATAGGAATCACATCTCAAAACTCGTACCCTTCTAATTTCAGCAATTTTCAATATCTATGACATTCATTCTATCCGATACTTCGTTATAAAAACCATGGATTGTGTATAATACACACTATAACAAAAAATTTCTTATTGCTTACACAAACTCGAACTTTCTATTCAGAACTGCCAATTATACAACCTCCCTTTGCATCAGCTGAGCATACTTCCGTACATTAGTGGCAAACCCGTTCTGCAATAAGCTAACACAATTCTTATACCCCATCCATGAATTACTAGGACGAACTTTCTTAGGCACATAAGAGGCACATGAGCTCAATGTATTAGCTTTGCCTTCTTTAACTCGAGTTAATAAGCCTACACAACATTTGTCCTACTTATTAAAAGGTGAGAAAAAAAACGCTTTACGAAACCCGTCACAATTGATATACTCACGTGACCCTTGCGAAAACACAGAAGGTAATATCTAAAACCACTAGAGGTAACTATAGAATACACTTCTCAAGTGTAGAAGGTCAATTAGACGCTACGTGATATTTGTTAAGTCGACTTTGTACAGGAAATAGTCAAAATTGCAGGACCACATGTTATGTATGTTAATGTGACGAACGTATGTACTGCGGGGGCTGCGGGGTAACAATCCACTCCATGTAGGACTTCTTCTACCTTTTGATTTTACCTTGCTAGATTTTTTGTGAATGAATTAAAGTTCACTAAGAAAAGCTCACATCCATCATGCAACAACTCATCGCCTGTTTCAAGGATTCGTTTGCGTTTGGAGAACCTGATGGAGTCGTCTTCAGAAATTACGACTACCTTCTGCCAGAAGACTGTCTACCACTGTCTCGGATACGCTATGGAATTGCGGACTCCAAATATGGATATCGATATAAGCTATTATGGGACGGTATAACATCATTCTTTGAGAACCACGAACTGATTAGTAGCGACACCGGGGCAGATCAATTCTCTGTTGCATTGATTGTCATATCAAGTGGACCACTGTTTGTTGACATACGTCGTTATATCATGGCAATTGATAAGCGTCCTGAACTCCTACCTGCAAATAGTGGCCTGCATCTGCAGTTTTACATTCCCGTCACTGCAACAGGTGAGTCCCCAGAGTCTATTTGCTATCTTCGATCTGAGGTTTCAACTGACTCGTGCCCATTCGAGAAAACCAAGCCGCTTTTATTTGGCCAGCCATTGGTCAAGCGTATGACATTCCAGCATCTCTTTCTCAATCGGAGTTGAAGCTGGCGACAAATTGGCTAAAAGATTGCATCGCAGGGTCTGGAAAGCATCAGAGATGTGGTATACATAAAGACCTTCCCATTTTACCTACTCGTATCATAGACGTTGGATCCTCGGATGAGGAAATCTGTTTACATATATCGCAGGCTGGAGAAAAGGGTCAGTACGTTGCACTCAGCCACTGCTGGGGCGGAGCAGTAACGACTATGACCACCACATCTACGATACAAACTTTCGTGATGAGTCTTCCATCCGAACTACCAAAGACGTTCATCGATGCTATCACAGTAACAAGAACTTTGGGTCAGAGATATCTCTGGATAGATTCCCTTTGTATTTTGCAAGACTCGGAGGAAGACTGGATCACCGAATCTTCCCAAATGGATCGTGTATACTCTCAAGCACTCTTTACTATCGTTGCGGATGCCGCCAACAACAGTTCCTCTGGATTTCTCGAACCGCCAACAAGGAATATTCGAAACACCTCGATTGTTACCTGTAACTTTACTACTTTGACCTCTACGACACCGTTATCAATCGCAATCCACGTACGGGAGAGAGGCGAATTGGCGTTTCAACTTCCCTACCATGACTTTCATTCCGATTCCGATATGAAGCAGATAAGCTGCGAATTTCCTAACAAACCAGAAACTGTTATTCGTAGTAAGCTCTCAACGAGAGCCTGGGCTTTTCAAGAAAGACTCTTATCGCCCCGCACTCTACACTTCGGTCCTTCGGAAATGGCCTGGGAGTGTCAGACCATCTGTAGCTGTGAATGTTCCGCGACGAACGAGCGAACGAGCCGCACCACAAGCTTGTTGAAGGGATCTATCGCGCTCCAACCACTCCCAATCCTCGGCGAGGAATCATCGCAAAATTTGTCGAGGGCTTGTAGTGACGCTTGGCAAAGGGATATCGTAGAAGAATACACTCGGCTAGACCTCACAAGGGAGACAGATCGCCTATCCGCCCTTGCCGGCCTAGCTACACGGGCATCGATTTTCCGACCAGGAGATCAGTACATGGCGGGAATGTGGCGAAAAACCATCGCGGAAGATCTAGCATGGTACACGCGTCCCGAAAAGAGCAGTCGGCGACCCGTCACTAAAAATCAAGCTCCAACCTGGTCCTGGACGTCCCTAACTGGGCATATACAATATACACGCACAAATGACACTCTCAGGAATAACCCTCTAATGGAAGTTCTCGATGTACAATACATTCCCGACAAGCAATCACCCTTGGGAGCAGGACCGGCAGCTCCCGCTTCGCTTAGAGTTTTCGGATACCTGATTCCCATGGCTAGTGTATGGTATCAACCGTATCGTTTCGTGCCGATAGACGAGGAAAGAGAAGAGGGAACCTGGATGTTGTCGGAAGAGTATCGCTCCTGTTATCGGATCAAGTGGCCTCCGAATGTCGAGTTGCCGGAAAATTGTGTTGCGATGATGGATATTCATCCAGTGCACGAACCTTATGATGAGAAGATTCGACTGAATAGATTAGACGGGATGGAGCTTGAAAGTGGTGAATGGGTTATGCTTCTTATGGCTTTGGGGAAAGGGGTTGTGTGTGGATTGGTTTTAAGTCCATGCTATGCACAAGATGAGGTGTCTGGATATGAGAGGGTGGGATTTGTGAATGGCTTGGACTCGATTGCGAGGCTTAAGTGGGTTTCTGCTTGGAATTCGCAGGGGTATTACGGGTCTGGAGATATGTTTGATGTTAATTGGAAGGCAGGTGAGACGGCATTGCAGTCTATTCTCAAGCATACGGGTATTGAAAAGAGTGTAGTGAGAATATGGTGAAGCGTAATGAATGAATTTTACTGTTAATATCAATTTTTAACACCTCAGAATGTTCTTAAATTTCGACGATTGCTATTAATCAAAAAGATAAACTCGAGCAAAAGTCTGCCTCCTAGATGATCTAAAAGATACAAGATATCGTCATCTACGAAAACTAATGGGAGATCCTTATATGATTATTTTTTTATCGCTTTATTCTCACTCTCCACCCCCCTCTTTTGTTATCAATTGTATCATTTGTTGATATATTTTATAGTCAATTAGCTTAGATTACTTATCAGCTTTTCGAAATGTTCTGTCGATCACCTTAAAATGATTAGTAGCATTAACTCTAATCAATAGCAATCTTAACTATTGTAAGAAATTTTTAGTAATCATTATTAGTAGTAATTCGAATTGATAAAGAGATAGTAATTTTATTAAAAAGTTATCAGAGGATTATTATTATTTTTTATAAATCCAATTGTTGAAAGTTGTGGCACGTGCGCTACGCTACTATGTATATATCACTTCCACTTCGTAGTTAGATTTTACCTTAGTATAATTAATCTACATAGTCAATAATACATGCATTCCACTGGCCTGCCCCTTCATTGTGAACACTAATTGTTTCTTTTAGTAAGCTAATTTTTATGAAGAATATAGATTAATTAGAAATAACCACATTTTATTATATAATCAAATGAACTATCTTTCATCTCAAATCAATAATTTTATCATTACATTACAAAAACTATAATATTAAGTTTATTAAAAATCTATCTATTCAAAAATATACAAACATTTTATAACTAATTCTGACTAATCAATTTTAATTCTTTAAACTAACATCATAAAAATATATTCTTTAAAAACTTTTAACTTATTCTATATAATTATTACCTTTTATTTCTTTATTTAATTAAATTTAAATAATCACCAGTGGGTGCACGGACTCACGGGACACGCGTTTTTTGAAAACAACCTCAAAATAAACCATTCAAATTATATATATTCAATTCAACTTCAAAATACCATTTAATATACAATCAATTAAATATAAGGTTACTCCCACTGATAAAGAATTATTTAGAGAATATGATTCACAAAAAAAAGCACACTTGTTCAATGAATTCGATCAATACCGTATGAGAGAAAGTCTATACTCCATTTCTACCCAGTTAGACATATCAAACTCTATAATTCATCGATAGCTTCAAAAAAGGGATTTATTAGAAGGAAAAATATTGGTTCGAGAAGGATACGAAAGACGTAGCACCCACGTATTATAGGTCCTGTATGTCTAATTGTATTCTATCTAAAGAGCTAGCTATATAGGAAAGTAGTAGGCCTTATATAGGCACTACTGAAAGAGCTAGTCTCTTTCGCATTCGCTTAATCCCTTTGATACAGTAGCCATTGTATTGAAGACATTCCTTTGAAGTGAATACCCTTGTTCACACATCGATAATTGATTAAACAAATCCGACTCAATTTTGTAAGATATAAAAAATATAATTGATTATCTCTTTTTTCTTTTAAAAACTCTAATAGATTTTGTAGTTTTTTAAGTGATTATTAATTATTTCGAGTAATTATTTTCAGTTTTTCTGGAAATCCTTTGATTTTCTATTTTCATATTACTAATTGGGATTGGATTTCTTTTGGAATTGGTTTTTTCTATTTATTGTTATATATAAATTGTATTAAATAAAAACTGATAATATAGAGCTTTATAGTTAATTTTAAATCTGAGCTATTTAATATAAAATGAATTGAATAGTATTAATATTATAAATAGAAGATGAATAATAGAAGTGTATATAGTATTTTTGATTACTTTACTTTTAGTTTGTATTATAATTATAGAAAAATGAAATGTATGATTATGTTAATATTTGTATTAGTATAGTTTATTCTTAGTATTCTCTAGGAGATTGTGGCGAGCCCCTGCGGCTTGCCCTCTGGATGTAAATTAAAATAAATAAATAAATAAATCTTTATTATTATTATTATCTCTATTATTTCCCTAATCATTTCTATTATTAAAATCATCTAAATTGTTATTATCATTAAATGATTTTATAAAAATATTCAGAACTCTAAATTTTAATAAGATCATATATAAAACTTATATATTCCTAGAATTATAAAATACAAATAATTTTCCATATACATCAAAAGGAATAATTGAACTAGTTATAACTTTATTAAAATCTAATAAAATTAAATAACTAATTAAATTAATATTCAAAAGTTTAATAAAAGGATTAATAGGAAACTTGATTTATAGTTATATATTTAGTTTAATAAAAAGATTAATTTATCTTGTAAATATAAATAATTATATCTCATTAATCTAATATTCTAGAAATTGTAATTTAATTTAATTATAATATTTTTTATATAAAAATACTTTTATAAAAGTATTCTCAATATTTATACTAAAATTAATATATATTCTACAATATTATAAAATTCTATAAAAATTATAAAATATTAGTTTATCAATATTTTTGGTACAGGTTTGTTAAATACCTTTGAAATTATATGCAACTATTTTTTAAAGAAATATATTAATAACTTCTGCCTTTAAATATATAATATTTTTATTTCAAAAATAGTTATTAATACAATATTCCATTATATATCTAAACATAAATCCTTTATAAAACTATTTAATTATAAAATTTTTTTTAAGAAAAAATAATTCTGGAATTCCTTTTTGAATTTTATATCTTTTAGATTTTTATTTTTTTTATTTTAGAAAGCTTTTGTTTTTAGAAATATAGTTTTGTTTGATAAAAATAAGGAAAAGCATTACTCATTCTTTTTTAAAATTTATATTTATTGTTTTATAATAAATCGACATTAATAGTATAATTATAAATTTCTATAATTATAAGTATAGATAGATTAAATTGCTTATTGGATTGTTTAAAGCTAATATTAAATAGATTCATTCGAAATATTATAATATTAATAATAGAAATAAAAGAATAGATATCAAAAGGCTTTTTTGAATAATTAATTAAGTAATTTATAATACTATTAATTAATATTTGTTTGAAAATATCACGGAGGGATAGCTATGTCGATTGGTCACTCTAATCATATAATAGGTATATATAATGATAATAAACTAGATTGACTTGTTGTATAATTATAAGAATTATGCCTATCTTATATACCCTGATTAAATAATAAAATCGTTTAATTAGATATTAGGATTTATATATAAAATAAATAGAAGATTATATGGTAATTATAGAAATAAATATTTTGTAGAAATGCTATACTTAATTATATATTGTTATATAAAATAATGAATTTTATAATATATTCCCCAAATTGATTGGTATTATAATAATTATATTAAATAATTTATATAATAAATAAAGGAAAATTAATAGGTAATATATATTGTAAATATTAATAAATACTTTTTCTAAATAATTATTATACTTTTTATTTATTTAATAAATATATTATTTAATAAAGGAATATAAGATATATAAAAATATATGAGTTTTTATAAAAAGAAAAGAGAAAATTATTACATAAATACAAATAATTATAAAATGAGTATTAATTCTTAAATAAATAATTTAATTTATTAATTTTTTATATATAGAATTGTATATATTATAGTATTGATTGAATATTTATAACCTTTGATTTGAATAATAAATATGTATAGTGTTTTATGGTGATAATGGAATTATATAGAATTTGATAGATATAAAAGGCTTTCAATTATAAAAATAGATTGATTTTGAGCATAAAAAAAAGATAGTTTTCTGTTTCTTAAATTTATAATGATTTATCTTTATTTAGCCTTTTATTATATTTTATTTTTTTTTAGAAAGCTCTTCAAAGAAAATAATTCTTTTTCTAATACATAAGTTTTTATTATATTATTAAATACTTTTATACTCTTTAACTAATATATATAAATAATACTATTAGGTTTTTTTATGATTTTAAATCTTTTAAAACTACTATTAATAAATTGCCCCAAATATTATTTAGAGATAGTATATATTATAATATATCCAGTTCTTAATGTAATCTAGGTGAACTATATTCTTTTGCTTGAATTCGATTATCTTATTCTAAGAAATAGGTTTCTAAATAAAGACCATCTTTTGATATATATAAGAATAATAATGACTTATTAAAAAGAATTGAGCATACTAAATATACTGAATCTTATCGATCTGATAATAAGAAAAACCATATAGTAATTACTTCTATAGATTATAATAATCAATTTATTAATAATAATCTTCCTAATTTTTTATATAATAATTAAAATAGTTCTTTATTAGTTTCATCTTTTTTTTCTTTTGATTACTCTATACCTATTTTTAAATTAATTACTAAATAAGTATTTAATTGTAATATATAATATAAATATATATATAGAATTGTTAGATATAATTTAAGGAATAAGGATGCTCAGAATATAATATTATATATAAAATATATTCGTTTTCTTTTATTCAATTGCTATAAGGATTCCAGTAAATATTTTAAATGGAAATAAGTCTTTTTTTTATAATACTAAAAGTATATTATATATTTATATATATTTCTTCTAATTTTTTTGAGATCTTTAACTATTTGATTAATGAAGCTTTAGGATTCTGATTTTGTTATATAATCTAAGTAAATAAGTATTTTGTATTAATAAGCTTTTTGTTTTATTATAATCTATTAATATTATATTTAAAAACTTATTTCAAATAAGAAATTTACTTATATTATAATGTTAATTATATTAATAATAAAGAAAGAGGATAATGAATTTCTCGATTTTAATTCTTTTTTATTATTAATATAGAGTATTTCTCCTTTTCCTCTTAATATTCAATTGTTATAATTATTTATATACTCTTTTTTAATAAAGAAATTATTATTTCCCTTTCCAATTAAGAAATAGAGATCTTTTTCTACCCCTCAATTTTCTGTAATTAAGTATTTAAAGATTGATATAAGGGTTTCTATTGCAAATTCTA